GTCTGGGGTGGGGGATTAACCAAAGAACGTATATGCATATAATGTACAACCCATGGACACAGACAATAGTGATGTAAAGACCTGGGGTGGGTCGGGAGCTGGGTGGAGGGGAGTACAGGGGAGAAATGGGGGACATCTGTACTACACAGAACAATAAAAATAAATGAATAAAATAAAATATGGGAAAGAGGAAAAATCACCTTGCAGGGAATTTCTTGACGACTTCAGGGTCAAGATGTCCATCATCCCCAAAGAAGACACTCTCAGGACACGTTCCCCGGCCTCAGAGGGTGTGTGTGCTGATTGACACACAGAATATGAAGATGGACAACCCCATCAAGACCCACATCACGGGGGGCAGGACTTCCAGGAGCACCTGCTTCAAGGTCTATGGAGGAGGGAAGGGTGAGGGAGTAGAGGTGATAAGCATGCTCTCTTGCCAGTGCAGGTCAAGGAATAGGCCATAGAGCTGTTCAGCAGCGAAATGAATGTGCCCACAGCACTCAGACTCGATGTGTGTGTCCTTCCCAAATTCACAGGTTGAAGCCCTGCCCCCCAAGGTGATGGAATTTGAAGGTAGGCCTTGGGGAGGTGGTTAGGTCGTGAGGGTGGAGACCTCATTAATGGGATGAATGACTCCGGAGAGCCCCCTGCCTCTTCTGGCACATGAAGACAAGTGAGAAGATGCCATCCATGAACCAAGACGAAGGCCTTCTTGGACTGCCAGCCTCCAGCACGATGAGTCATAAAGGTCTGATGTTCAGCGCCCAAGGCCTGGGTATCCTGTTAGAGCAGTTCAAAGAAACTGAGACACAGGGAGAGAGTGGAAGAGACAGATGGCCAGAAATGTACTTTGCAGTCAAATGGAATATCAGGGTTCCTGGAATATCAGGGTCATGTTTACTAGAATGTTGATCTTATTAGCCAAAGAGAGTGGAGACAGGACTGTGGCAGATGTTTCAGGATCAGAGGGGGATGGGCCTAGGACAGGGATGGCGTCATGTCGGGGTACTGGTCAACCAGCATGCGCTGGTCAGCCTACCCTAGAACAGGGGTCTTCACTGGGGCATCTCCTCTGAGGACTAAAACAGGTTGTGGCCCATGAAGGGATGTTGCAGAATCAGAAGTGTCGGATTTTATGGCCGCATAGTTGGACCTCTGTGGATGTTTGAAAAACAAGAGAAAGTGCAGAGGCCATAGAGGCCCGGGATTTAAAAGCAGCAGCAGCGTAGAAGCTCCTAAAAGTCCGTGGTTTTAACTCCCGGAGACTCGACAGACTTCTCTTTCTGATTGTGAGTCACATGTTTCTTCTTGTTCCTAAGAGGAGTCTTAATTTATCTCTCGAAATCTATGTTGAAATTTAATGTATCGATGGAGGCACACCTCACGGATGTCTTTGTGTGTTCTGAATATAATGATCCAAGATGCACAATTATCCGATTTTTTTCCTTTAAAGATTTTTTTTTTTTAAATAAGGTAAATAATATATTCTTCAGTAGAGATCAAGTTACAATGTAAACAATAATTCTAACCTCCCACTTTTATGTTTTGTTATTTGGGGATTAAATATAAATCTTAGGTAATTTCGAAAAATATATCTTCCTGTGGCTAAACAAAAGACATTTCTTTATAATAAAATGTTCATGTCGTTTAAAAAAATCATCATCACCTTTTGCTGCTAAAAAACACCTCAGAGCAGCATTAAAACAATCAGAGACCATGACAGTCTCCGTAACAACTGTCGGGGCATCACAGGGGGCCAGCAGCTCACACATCAGTCCTCTGTAGGAGTGGCCTTCGTTTGAATCTCAGAGCTTCTGTGAGCGTTGAGAGTTACTTATATTTTTGTTTTTTGTTTGTTAATCCTCACCCGAGGATATTTTCTTATTGACTCTTTCTTAGATAGAGTGGAAGGGAGGGAGGGAGAGAGAGAGAGAGAAACATCTACCTGAGAGAGACACATCAATCAGTTGCTTCCCACAGGACCCCGACCTGGGCAGAGGATCAAACCTGCAACCCTTGACCAGGAATCAAAGCCACGGCAGTTTGGTCTGAGAACCAACACTCCGACCACTGAGCCAAACCAGTCATGGCGTGAGTGAGTTATGTTTGAGAAATAAACAACTGTTCCAAGTTATAACGGGAAACACATTCTATTAGTGTCTCCTGTTAATTAGAATTCACTGCTGTTACAAGTCCTTTGCCCAGCAGCTGCTGGTAAAATGTTGCAACCCTCTGATGATTTTGCTACGTCACCCTCTTATTTCACATCATTATTCCTTCAGACTTTTAAGTAAAGACTCCCAGCCCTCAGCAGTCCCTGGAGGGATTCTGTTTCTGAGATGCTTGGCCTGCTCGTGTTCTGATACCTAGGCCAGGGACCCCCGGGCCACAGCAGCTCCCGCGCCCACAGAACACCCACTCAAAGAGGCATCTCAGTGTAGAGCTAGGAGGGAAAGTTACATAGTTTCACAGAGATGAGAGTATCCTTCCTCACCTTCAGGACAATAAACAGGCAGCAATGTGGCATCTTTGTTCACTGTCTCAAATGAAAAATTATAGGTAACAGTTATTTATATGAACCCAAGCAGTCTCTTTCTTACCCGGCTTCCTTGCATTCTCGAGTATAAATATCTCAGTGAGTCAGAGAATCATGATACCACACATAAAACTCTGCGATATTTATACAGCTCTCTGAGGCACAGATGCCAATTTATGTACTGCTCACTGGGACCTCAGATAGCATGCCATGAATCTACTGGTTCTAACCTTAATATTTCCAGTGTGGATCCTGTCATAACACCAAAAATGGCAGGAATACTGTTTTCTAAATTCTATAGCAATCAACATATAAAGTGATCATCATATCACCATAAGAATGTAAGAGGATAGCAAATTGTTTAAAAAAAAAAGTAGTCAATCAAATTAATATTTACAAGATTTCTTTAGAATAGGATAAAATTATCGGAAATTAAAATATTAACAGAGAAGAAAATTTTAAGAGTACATACTCACTAGGCATTTCTTAATTTACTGGGCATTTTTGTTGTTGTTGTTGTTAATCCTCACCAAAGGATATTTTTCTATTGATTTTTAGAGAGAGTGGGAGGGAGAGAGAAAGAGAGAGAGAGAGACATCGATGTGAGAGAAACACATCAATTAGTTGCCTCCTGCACAGCCCCAACCAGGGCCAGGAATCAAACCTGCAACCTAGGTACCTAGGCCTTGACTGGAACCGAACTCCAGACCCTTTGGTCTGCAGACCAATGCTCTAATCTCTGAACCAAACTGGCCAGGGCTACCAGGCATTTTTTCTCTCTTTTTTTTTAACTAGAAAGAGAAATACAGTTACTTTTAACATGGAGTCACATGCCTTGACATTTGTTTACTGATTTGAGAAAGGGAGTGACAGGGAGGGAGAGAAACATCGATTTGTTGTTTCACTTATTATACCCTCATTGGTTGGTTCTCTTTGTGCCCTGACTGGAGATCAAACCCTCAGCCTTTGCATATTAGCATGATGCTCCAACCAACCGGGCTACCTGGCCAGCGTGTGCCTTGATATTTGAATAAACTATATCCTCTTTTTTGTCATAGCTCTTTGCGGTTCCTTTGACAATTCATCATTACGATGTGCCATTATTCCCTAGTAGCATCATTTCTTGGCAGAAAAGCACATAAGTGACCAGTTGTTAGAAGAGCAGCCAAGAGGATAAGAACTCTTGCATCCAAAGAGCAAGGACCGGGTAGATTCCGTGTCCAAGCATCGAAACGCAGAAGCAGACGAGTCAGCGCAGGAGAACACAGTTGCCCTGATTCACAGTGGAGACAGCTGTGGGCAGTGAATGACGGGAAGGAAGGGCAAATGGAACAGTGTTTCTGAAAAGCCGACATCCAGTACTGCAGATGAGCCAGGAAACGCTAGAAGATGCTTGGCGTTTAGAAATGCAAATACAGACAATGCAAATAAAATATACTTGGAATATGTTGATATAATATATTTAGTATGTTCAATATACTGGTTATACATATTTATAAAGTAACTAAATGTACCAATGTAATTATAGTTTTGTAGTTGGAGACTTTCTCGGTCCACACGGTCATGAACAAAATGCATGCTCTGCGGGCATTTCTGCTAACCTGGGCATCCACCTCATTTTATCTATCTGAGCAATTCCATTTTTTCTGCCTACTATCAAATTTTCTACATGACTCTATATATTCAAAGACATTAATTAATTTCTAATTAATGCAAAACTTTGAAATCAGAGGATAAAACTTTATTTGCATATGTGTATATATGTATATATACACATATATATGTCTGTATATGTATATATTTAAATATGTTTATCAGGTTAGCTAAGAAATTCTGATTTCTTTTAAAACATATTTGTCTGTCTTTTGCAAAATTAAAAAAAAATAGAATACTTCTACAGGTGCAATTTTTCTATGTTGATAAATAAATAAAAAAACATAACTTAAAATCACCCAGAATATATTTTACTTTCTTGGTTGCTAAGTCATACATCAACAGAGAAACGCGTGAGGGACGCAGGGTATTATGACTGTAAAACAGAGGTTCTTGGAAGACGGCGCCTTCGTACGTGCTGTGCCCACGCCCTGTGCTCTTTATTGACTGTTTCTCTTGTGTGTGTTCCTGAATTATGCTCTGAATGAGCCCTCAACTGCACACTTCTCTGTGCCTTCCCTCTCAAATCCGCAGTTGCTTAAAAACAATGGTGTGTGATAACGTTACTTCGGTCGCCTTGACGACGCTGCCTCACCGATCGTGAACAATGGGGTGCTCATAAACGAAGGCAATGATTGCTTTCAATACGAGGTTAGGCTTTTAACTACCGAAAGGAAAACTGCACAGTCCAGCCTTTACTTTCTTTGCAGTGCATACAGAAAAGCTGCCTGGCCTACGATGAAGTCCCAGTGTGGACTCCGAGCGGGTTCGGAGCCGGGGGGCAGCGGCGCGCGGGGGGCCGGCTCACCTCACTTTCAGGTTCCCCTGCTGCAGCTGCCCGTCGTACACCGACAGGATGTCGAAGTCCTCCTCCAGGGCGAAGGTGTGGAAGGACAGCTGTATCCGACTGCGCTCCCCGGTGACCACGATCCAGGTGCAGTTCGCGTAGTTGGGGTAACCGTGGGGGAACCCCGGGCTCTCGATGGTGCCATTGGGACCCTGGACCAAGCCTCCGCAGCTCTGACCTGGAAAATGTCCCACAAGAAACAGCACGTCATTGGGGCTGTTGTGAACCTGAGATGTAACAAAAAAACCTCCAACCTTTTTGGCAAAATTTTGTGACTTATTTTGTGATCCTTCATGGTGGGACCCAACTGAGTTGACGGTTGCAAGTGAGTGAAACAGTTCATCCTTGACTTTCTATGTATTCATATTGTAGTATTTTCCGCATGAATAATTGTAAACACACTCTCGCCCCATGTTGGACTGAATGATACAGTGCAACAGTGTTCTTCAGCCCTACAAGTTGGAGAATAACCAACCATACAAAGAGGAAAGAGAAGGAGCATATACAACCTCTGGAAACTCGTGTTAGACACTGGGGCGATGTTTCTGTCATTTCCAAATGCATCTCCATCCCCCCGAGGCCGCCGTGTTTGTGAAACAGGCGAGGTCCTATTGCCACGTGGTCTCCTGTTGTACCGCCGCCTGTGAGCCCCCCGCTGGGGAACCCAGCTGGCCGACGGCATGAGCACTCTAACACTGCACACTCACACACACGTACAATCTATCTACGCGATTTCCATGCGTGTCACTTAGAATAGCGAGGGGAATCCACACTCAATATTCAAACTATCAATGTGGGGCTATGCTGGTGGAAGTCCCCCACAGCGGAAGAATTCAAAAGGACCACAGAAATCTTATCTAGTTTCAAATAAAAGGTGTAGAAGAAGAAAGATTGAGTTATCCAAAAATTAAGGAGCAGCCCAGCAAGGTAAGGGACCAGCCCCGGTTACCATCTTCCTGGTGACGTGGGGGGATTTGCCGTGTGGAGGAGGAAGGAGACATGTGTCCAGCCAATGGCATCATTAACAAAAGGCTGAGTCAGGGATGAACGCTAGACATTTGAACAGCCCCGACGGACACACTCGATTCGTGTTCACTGTGAGTATCACCGTCATGGGAGGGGACAAAATAACTTTTTCTCAAAATGTTCCACCATTTAATTAGTGTGAGGTTAACTACTAAGTAGCCGCCAAATACAGTTTGCAGTGTTTTATTTCTTCTTTATCTGGCCATTTCTCACTAATCATTTTAAATGAATTAAATGAATTAATATTTTTACTTTTTTAGTTTAAAAAATTATTTATTGGGATGACAATGGTTAATAAAATTATATCAGTTTTAGGTGTACAATTCTATACTACATCTCTCTAGAGTGTACTGTGTGTTCACCACCCCATATCAAGGCTTCTTCCATCCCCATTAATCCCCCCTTTACCCTCCTCTACCTCCCCCACCCTCTTCTTCTCTGTTAATGATCACACTGTTGTCTGCATCTGCGAGGTTTTTATGTTTATTTATTTTCTATTAATTCCTTCACATTTTTTACCCAGCCCCTAAACCCCTTCCCCTCTGACAGCTGTCAGTCTGTTCTCTATGTCTATGAATCTGTATCTATTTTGTTTGTTAGTTTATGTTGTTCATTAGATTCCTCATATAAATGAGATCATAGAGTATTTGTCTTGCTCTAACGGGCTTATTTAACTTAGCATAATATTCTCCAGGTTCATCCATTACTGTCACAAAGGGTAAGGTTTCCTTCTTTTTTATGACCAAGTAGTATTCCATTGTGTACATGTACCACAGCTTTTTTAATCCACTCATTTACTGATGGGCACGTGGGCTGCTTCCAGATCTTGGCTATTGTAAATAGTGCTGCTATGAACATAGGAGTGCATGAATCCTTTCAAATTCGTGTTTTTGGTTTCTTCACAGTTAATGTCCAAAAGGTATAATAAACTTATACAACTCAACATGCAAAAAAAAGAAGAATCCAATTTAAAAAATGGGCCAAGGGCCTGAATCTAACTGTTTTTATGGTAAGAATAATGAAGGTTGGGGAGCAACCAGGGACACTTGGGTTCATGCATGCATTGTATGGACCTCAATGCAAGTATTTTCACAGCATTTATCAGTGAACTTCAAACACAAAATTATTTCTAACTGCATTTTACACTTACAAAGTATTTCACAGTAGTGGCTCTCAGTGAGCCCAAGCTGCTCACATTAATATTATCAAGTGCTTGTGGTGTGTGTTAAGTCTTTGCAAAAAAGGTTTAATGAAAGAGATTTATAAGGTTAAAAACCAAAGAACTAATAAGAGGTCCATCTTCCACTAAAATTAAATTTAACAATAATCCTGTATCAAGTGGATATTAAAGCTGTGGGATTTTAAAAGGCCTCTTAAGAAAAGAGCTTTCCTGGTTTATCTAGCAATTCTTGCTTCCTATATAAATCAAAAGTAGAGACTTGATGATAAATTGGATGAAAAAATAAATAAATCCAACAGAAGTGTCAGCTGGGAGGTACTGACTGTAATAGACCCATCATGGTGAACCAGATTATCAGATAATTAGATTTCCTCCAAGGAATAACATTTAGGCTGTGTATGGAGACCAATTAGTACAGTGCATTTTGCAGAATGAGTCACTTTTGATCAGTAGATAGACTTTTCCGCAGGCCCTGTTAGAAACTTGGTGAACTTCTCAAAAGTTCTTCGAAGAGGGACTCTCCACCTTGGCTGCCCATTGCAATCAACTGAGGATTTTTAAAGTATCTATTCTTGGGATCGATTCTGATGTTGACGTTCTGGGCCAAGAACAGCCAAGACAATGATGAAGAAGAACAAAACTGGAGATTTTCTGCTACTTCATATCATGCCTTATTACAAAGCTATAGTAACCCAGACAGGGTTGGTTTAGAGGTGTAAACCTGGACCAAGAGCCGATGGAACAGAATAGAAAGCCCCACACAAACGCCCACGGACACAGACACGAGGCTGATGAGACGTTGGAGCGGCAGGGCTCTGGGAAACAGCATCTTCTCAATCAGGGGAGGACGTGCTGCCAATCAGACGGCCCGAGGGGAAAAAAGTCTGGATCCCTACCTCACAGTGTATACAAACACCAATTCCAGATGCACTGCAGACCTACGTGGAATCTATAAAACAACACTTCCAGATGGAAACCACATAGACAGTATCTTTATAGCTGTGTGGTAAGGAAAACCTCTGACCTAGAACACACACACTGATCATCGTAAAAGAGTGAACAGAACTCCGAAAACTGAGATGCAATTACAATACATGTATTCAGCAAGTGACATATTTGTAACATGGTGAAGAAAACTTGAAAAAGCAACACAATAGAAAACTATTATTACAGGCAACTGGAGATTCGGATTCAGATCTAAAACTGGAAAGAGACCAATGGGTCATGAAGTGGAAATGACTCCACAGCCCTGACCGCCTCGTCCCCTGGAGCAGGGCCTAGCTGCCCCTACTTGTCCTGGAGGTATAAGGAAATAGCATCTGTGCTGAAAACAAAAATACACAAACACAAACTGATTAATGGGGTCTTTCTTTTTAGAACCAACAACCCCACCTCAGGAAACCTGTGCTCTCCATGCAAGTGCTGGTCCCACTAGGAAAATGCAAATGTTCTGGAAATTGGGTCAGTATCTCCAGACTCATAAAAATAGCTCAGGTTCAAAAAAGTACAGTGAGACTCGTGAAAACAATCACTTGTTGAAGCAGTCGTCCTAGGAGGGTATCGACTAGCCTTCCCCAGAGTGAGCAGCACTCACTGAAACCCACACCACCTCGACTTGAAGGACACCTCCTCAGTTACAACTGCCCCAAGGCGTGGGCTCAGCATCCTTAGACTCATACGAGGTCCGTGCTCCCTACCACACTCATAAAAATAAAGGCTGGTGTCCTTAACAGTTAAATGAAACAGTCTCCAAATGGAAATCCCAAGATGTACCAGGGGTGGGAACATCAGGCCCACGGGCTTTATAAGACCTACGAAATCAACACCAGCTAAAATCATACGCTCCTTGAAATGAGCCCGACCAAACAGCAGGCTAATTTTTAAGTTGATAATTTTGTATGGCCCAAGAAGGATGTTATAAATATCCACATGGCCCTGGGCAGGAAAACAGGTTCCTCATTCCTGATTCGTGACTGTAAGTAATGACCGTAAACAATGTGCAACTTAGGTTCTTCATGGGTACCCGAACTTAACCCGGGCACAAGGTGATGCACGTCCGCAATAAGACTGCTCCCATGGAAACGGAGACTGAGCTGGATGGACTCACGGCGGGGGTATGGAGACTCTACCTGACGTCTGTGGACACGTTCGACTTCACCGTCCCATGATGATAGAGCGTGGGCCAACCCCATCCCCCAGCATATGCCAAGGCTGGGGTTTTCCTCAAATGTTCCCCAGAAAGTCTGAGCCTGCCCCCCTTATAGGACCTGCACCCACAGCCCTCACCGTCTCAGGCCTGAGACCGAGAACGCGCAAATATTCTGCAAATGTTTTCTTTTTCAATGGCTCACATCGGTGCCGGATGTCAGTGTTGGCCTTAAACACAGCTTCAAGTGTACGCAGATTATTTTAACTGGAAGCAGTTTTAATGAACAAACGTTTAAATACCGCAGTTATAATCACGCATTAACATACTGCTCGGCAAACATCTGCCATGAGGACCTCGGTGAGTTATATTTCCCGAGGGCAATGAACTAATCTGCAGGGTTTCAGTGATCATTTTCATCTTTTAGTGAAAGTTACGTTATTTTCACAGGACTGAAAACGCAATTATTACAGGAGAAAATGTCTCATGGTCTTTCTACAAGTACCGATGATGAAAGTTACCTTGAAATATCCAAGCCGGGGGAAAACAGGAAGTATACGTGTAATATACATGCAAATTGCATGTACAAAACAAATATACATCACACAGGAACAATCACGCAGAACTGTACACTCGGGGTTTTTTTTGCTGTAATTCAAACAAACTGTCATCAGAAAATTTCAGTACAAGTCACTCTTAGAAATTGGGGGGTCGCACGTTATGTATCAATTCTACATCGACGGAGTTGGGGAAATTGATATCTGAGCCATCTAGCCATTGGATTATACCTTCTGAGACACTTGGTGTAAATCTGAAGTACTCAGCACAACATTAGGTACGGGGACTCCTTCAATCAATGTACTTAGGTGTCTGCCCGACCCAGAGCCCCTCAGCGACCCTGCCTCACCCCAGAGGACCCCAGCATCTTTCCAGTTCTGCCGTGTGCCTTCGGAGCGAGGGGGGCTTCCGCATACATTCCCCAGGGAGTCTTAGTTGTCCACGTGAACTCATGGACATGGAAATGCACACAGGAGTGGAGAGAGTCGTCCCCCATTTCCCAGATGTAAAGTGGGGTCTTCTGACACCACACACTGATGACCGTTCAACCAAACCACAGCTGTGTCACCAGAGACCAGCCCAGGGTGACCCACACGCCATTCTACGCCGCCAGGTCTCCCCCAAGCCCAGCGCCCAGCCCCGTGACCCGCTCAGACCACCCCACAAAGCAGGGATGGAACCAGACGTTCAGAAGCTGTAAGGCCAGTCGTCCGTTATAACTGATCAAGGCGACGGCAGGACACCAAGTATCAAGTAGCATCGAAGAATGTGAACATCACTCCCAACTCCATTGCCTGAGACAGTCACGGCCACCCCCTCCCTGAGCCCTTCCGAAATCCGCACACTCCGTGACGGTGCTGCCTTCGCTGCCGTGTGACGTGTGAGCAGCCCTCTCGGGGTCACAGTCTGCCCTCCTGCAGCATGAACAGGAGACGCGGGAGCGGGGTCGAGGGGCTGTCCTGCCTGCTGGGTCTTTATTCTGAGAAGTTCCGGGGCCCGCCCCAGCAAGGGGGCCACCAGAACAACCCAAGTCCTGGAGCAGTACAGCTCGGGATGGCGGGCGGGCTGGCCCCAAGGCAGGGTTCCCTTTC